AAAAAAAAAAAAAAAAAAAAAAAAAAAAAAAAAAAAAAAAAAAAAAAAAAAAAAAAAAAAAAAAAAAAAAAAAAAAAAAAAAAAAAAAAAAAGTTAGACAAAGCAATAAAGAAAGAACGAAAGAGAAAGAAAGAAAGAGACAGACAGACAGACACACACACAGGCAGACAGACGGACACACAAGCATACAGACTAGGAGACAGACAGACAGACGGACAGACAGACAGACAAACACACAGACAGACAGACAGACGGACAGACAGACAGACACACAGACAGACTAGGAGACAGACAGACAGACAAACAAACAAACAAACAGACAGATAGATAGACAGACAGAAAGACGGACAGACTGACTGATTGACCAGACAAGGCGACAAACAGACAAACTGACAAACAGACAGACGGACAGCCAGACAGACAGACATACAAACCAGAGCAGACCGACAGACAGATGGTCAAACAGACAGACAGACACAACAGACGGAGCAGACAGACCACAGAACTGCTTTGTGTTGTCCATGCATGTCTTTGACCTATGCGGATTTCTTCCTGCGGTAAAGATTCGTCAATGCAACATAGATGATGTTCAACCATTCAACATTATTATTGTTCTTTCTTGTTTGAATAAGAGTGGAGGAAGCAGGATTCGGAATCACCTTTTTCTCTCTCTCTCCCTTCATGTTTAAACATTTCTTTTTGCAATTGGACGCCATTGAACTTTCTGCCGATTGAACTCTCCGAAATTGGTCAGGACCGCAACACCGAACAGACAGACAGACAGAGGGTGGGAAAGAGAGAAGCGCGTACACACGTGGAGGAGGGAGAAGAGGGGTCGATGCTAACAAACCAAGCATATAAATTATAGGTCACTGGATGAAAGAATGTAGAGCCAGAGAAAGGAAACAGCAAACACACTTAGTGTACACTCACATACGGATACTATGATGGTTTGCGCACATGTCCACAACAACAGAACAGACATACAATAGGACCTCCACCAAGCCCGTGGTAAGAAATGCAACCTATAGTAAGTGGAGCGAAGGCTAGGACACACATTAGATAGACCTTCGGGTGCCTACGAGTCTTCAGAAGGGCGGAAATGAAAAAAACTACGAGGCTGGAAGGCCAGGGACTACGAAAGTAGAGACAAACTGCCAACAGGTTCCGCCGTTGGAGCCCACCGAAAGGCCGATCATTCGAAAAGAAAGAAAGAAAGAAAGAAACTTGAAGAAAGGAAGAAGAAGAAAATGAATATGAAAAAAAAAAAGAAACAAAGTAAGAAAGAAAGAAAGGAAAACAAGAAAAAAACAAAAACATATGGGGCTCACTACTGCGGGCCAAAATCAGCGACAGAGTCGTCCTTCAATACCTTCATGTCCCCCACTAGTGAACCTCATCTCTCTCTCTCTCTCTCTCTCTCTCTCTCTCTCTCTCTCTCTCTCTCTCTCTCTCTCTCTCT